GTGGGTGGGAGGATGGAGGAGTGAGTGGATGAATGAGTGAGTGAATGAGTGGGAAGGGTAATGAAAAAGTATAAGCCATAGGACCAGTTTTGTAATACAGTCTGGTTAAGGAAAAATTGACCTAAGAGAAATAATTAGGGAATGGGGAAAGACATATTTTTAGAGCTTCTCAACCCCAAGTATTACATGCTTGCAGATAGAAAAACTCAGACAGGTTAAGTAACTTGTCTAAGGTCTCATAGCTGCTAGTTGGTGGAGGCAAATTCAGACCTAGGGCTTTCTTAATTTCAGAGGCTGTGCTTGTTTTTTCAAGAGTCAGGATCAGGGCTCTAGGTGGATTTTGATGGGTGGGGAGAATCTGGATAGGCAGTATATTTTGAAGGACCATGCTGCTGTCTTTGATGACATTTCTTTGAATGCTTATTTGCCGATTAAAGTTGCCAAGTGTAGTACCTCGAAGTAAATGACGCCTTTTCTTTTCTTCCTCTCCTTTGCCCTTTCTCTAGAATAATGAAGAAGGTTGTAGGAAACCGATCTGGCTGCCCAACTGTAGGGGATAGAATCGTTGAACTCATTTATATTGATATTGTGGGACTCGCTCAGTTCAAAAAAACTCTTGGACCATCCTGGGTTCATTACCAGTAAGTACTACATACTGTTCTTCATATTTTTAGAGCTCCCCAACCCCAAGGATTACATGCTTGCAGATAGAAAAAGCTTATCAAATACTGTCTTTTGAACTCTGTGAAGTATGTTTCTCAGTTCTAACTGAAATTCAGATTCTTCACAGTGGCTTTTTACCTTCAAGGGCTATTCATTATTTTCATTGATTTCTCAACGATAGAAAACAAGTGTCCCACCTCCTTTTTGCCTTCCCTAATACTTAACATTCCTCTCCCAGCACACCCCCACCAGTCTCCTCTGTTTAATCAGATAATGATTTTGATACAGTACGGGCAATGTCATTTCTTGTCTTCCTTAGGTTTGAGATGATGATTCAGTTCTTGTACCTTTGCCTTCATCGGTATTCTTGTCATTCTTGGAAGAGAAAGCCAGGAATACCTTGTCTGAAGGCTGGGTCTTGCACTCTTTAAGATAAGCCTCATGCTTAATATGACTAGGGTGACTGCCTTTGTTCCTTGAAATACTAGCTGCATGTTTCCAGAAAGTGGGTTTGGGATAAGTAGTATTTGAAATGACTTTACATTATTTTACATGGCACACAAACATGGCACTAAAACTAAATAACATTGAATTGTATAATGAGATTCATTAATTTTTCAATTTTATTTCAACCTTTCTGAGAAAAGGCTTAATTTAATGCTAATATGTCTTCAACACTTATTTTAACACTTCAGTGCGTTTTTAACAAAGTGAGAGTAGCTATAAATCTCAGCTTTCAGCAGGCCTTTGTATCTAGCTTGAATTTAATAATACTTTTTTTGAGGGACTGTATTTTTTTTGTTACCTGCCATTTATTGCAGTTGATACTGGTTTTCATTTATCGTCTTGATAAAAGTTTGCTTTAAAAAAAAAAAATGTTCATAAAGGTGAGTAAATTTAAATGAACATTATATGTTATATGATTGTATAAAAGGTAAATGAATTTGGCAAAAATTGTGACTATAGATAAACATTGTACTAACTGATAGTGAATGTTGACTTATAGTTGGAACTAACTTCCTAAGAGAAGATGGAAAATTTCTCAATTATTACAATGTGGAAATTCCTCCATGCATTTCTTTTCTGTTGTTAGTGGATAAAGAAGATGATTTGATGTGTTCTTCTGACTTAACCAATAATTAAATCCTAATAGCCTAAACTGGAGTTCCTGGTTGGTGCAAACAGTTAAGCACTCAGCTACTAACTGAAAGGTTAGCAATTCATACCCACCCAGAGGTGCCTCTAGAGAAAGGCCTGGGATCTACTTTCTAAAAATCAGCCATTGAAAACCCTATAGAGCACAGTTCTACTGACACACATGGGGTCGCCATGAGTCAGAATCTACTTGATGGTGACTGGCTTGGTTTTTTGTTGTTTTTTTTAAATAGTCTAAACTAGATCTCTGTTTTTCAGGTTAGTTTAGGATTTAATGTTAACATTAATCTCTGAAGTTATGGCAGATTGGATGCCCTTTAGAAATTAGAAGAAAATTAAACTGAAAATATTTAGAACCTTCTCAAAAACAGAGGGAGAAGAAAACCACCCGTTGTCTGTAGAGTCACCCACAGTGATTTCCTCATCGGACAGTGAAATACTCATGGACGGGGGGATGGCTTTGACTGAATAGAGACTGTCTTCATGTCATTTTGGTGATAGTTTCATACAAAAAAATTAAAAACTTGGTTTGAGCCATAATCACAGACTGCCTTTTTCATTAGTTTTTTTTTTTTTTTTCCTGGTTTGTTTTTTCCTGAAATCTTCACGAATCACAGACCACCACATTTCTTCTCAATTATATGGAAATAACCGTCTTTCTTCTTGGTTAATAAGCCATACTAAACTTTGTTTTGTTTTGTTTTTTAGCTACAGCATTAAAAAAAAGAAAAGCAGAGTCTGTTGCTTTCTGGTGTTTTTCAAATGGCAAGCATCTGATGAATGTGAACAATGAATTGGGCAGTACAAACATCCCAAGACTCACATAACCTCGCTATTAGGAAAGGCTGTTTGGACAGAAAAATGTTCTCAGTGGTAGTGTTTAGGTCGATTAAAAAGAGCGATTTCATTACTAACATGGTCACTGTTGACTGGTATTTGATTCTTGTTGGATGAAAAGGCACCATCTTGGGTTTGACGATATAGTGTGATGTTTATTCTGCCTTTCTTTATAATAAATCATCCACCTTAGGGATATTAGCTGGCCAGAGGTCCATTGATACTTTAGCTTTGCAGTCTTTGTGGTGTGAACAAGCTAAGATTTCATCAGAAGACCAAGCCAGCACTCTAGAGCTTTTTTTTTGCCCATTTTAATCTCTTTCGGAGATTAGAAATTGACGGGATTTTCATCTTGGTTTGGATCAGAAGTCAATATCTTGGTTAATAGTACCGGTAAAACCAATTAGATGGTATGAATTTCATTAAATGTAAAGTGACCATCTGATCTTTCATCTAAGGAGCAAACACTTGATGCCCATTGATTTTGGGGAAATATTTACAAATTCTGTCCAATTTTTGTAGGGACCCAGGAAGTTCAATTAAATAAACAGATGTTAAATACAGGTAGTCTCCAACTTATGACAGTGTTCCATTCCAATGACTCCATCGTTAAGTCAGTTCTGATGTAAGTCAAATACTTTTTTTTTTTTTTTTTTTTAGTTTTCATTATTATTGCCTTTTATTATCAGTATCTTTATAAATCCAATCTTTATTTGTCTGTGGGGGTTGGAAACATTACGTATAAACTTACAGATACGTTTTGACATTGTATGTAATACATATTACTAACGATAAGATGTACCAAACCAAAAAAAAAAGTCATAAATTCAGTTCATCATAACTCGAACAGGTTATAAATCAGGGATTATCTGTATCTAGATGTGATCCTGTATTCTGCTAAGTATTGTAAAACTCATACATCTCTTTTCTTCACATGAAGCCTTTGCTTAGCATTGAAGACCATATTAGTTTCCTAAGGCTTCCGTAACAAATTACCACAAACTAGATGGATTAAAGCATCAGAAATTTATTTTCTCACAGTTCTGGAGGCATAAATTCCAAAAATCAAGGTGTTGGTTTCGTCCCACTGTCTCCAAAGGCTCTAGGGTAGAATTCTTTCTTGCCTCTTCCAGCTTCTTGTGACTCCAGGTATTTCTCAGCTTGTAGCTGCAAAACTCCAGTTTCTACCTCTGTCTTTACTTGGCCCTCTCTTCTTCTGTCTCTTATAAGGACACTTACCATTGGATTTAGGGCACATCTGGATAATCCAAGATGATTTCCTCTTGAGATCCTTACCTTAATTATATCTGCAGAGAATATTTTTCCAAATAAGTTTACATTCGCAGGTTCTGGGAACTTAACATCTTTTTGGGGGACCACTGTTGAACTCACTACAAGATAAACAGGAAAATAAGGTGCAAGTAGTCCAAGGTACCATGTTTTACATGAAACTCCAAATTAGAAAGTAAGTCTGTCTCATAGTAGAGCAGCTGAGAGTATTTAGAGTGTTCCAGGACTCAACTTGGCATTGATGTAGCTGTCCCTGTTGGAGGAAGGCAGCTGCCTCAGGCATCAAGGCAAATAAGCCATTAGTCTGCCCTTGATGCTCCTGACACACAAAAGACGTTAGAGGAACAGCATAAATATTAACACAAGCACAATTCTAAAACCCACAGATTTAAAAAGTGATTGAAAAAGGAAATCTATAATGTCGAACCTCTTGTCATCAACAAAGATCAGTCTCCTGCCCCTGGTTTATAAAATAAACCGCAGTAAGACAGAAAATAGATAATTCCCAATCCCAAGCCTGAAGTTTAAGGTCGTAGAGTCACGTCTGAAAGTCTTCCCATCATTCCATAGCCTTCCATTGTGAAGAAGCCTAACATCACATGCCTTATATCTAGGCGCTGTACAAAACCCCAGTCTTTCAGGAGTTAAGCTCCTACCAGGCATCTTTGCTTGTCATGGTTTGTTTTAATTATCCAAATTAAAAATAACAATAATAAAACTCCCGATTAAAAATATAATCACAAGCCAAAGCTAGAGAGCTAGAGAGGAACACAGAGACCCTTAGAAAGATTGAATGGCAAATAAGTGGAAGGTGGCGAAGGTTCCTTATGATGAGGTGGTTAGTTTCTCCTTGCTGTGCCCACAGGGAGTGTTGAATTCCTGGGCTGACAGAGGGGTGCTGGCAAATTCCAGCTGTAGTAGGGAGCTGACATTCCACAGCCTGACCTGTAAGAGCCAACTTTTGCCCATGACAGTGTGTGTTCCTTCCTTCGCCCCATCCCTCTGACGGCGACCTTCTGCAGAGCTGCCGCTGTTGTCCCCACTGCTTTCTGAACGCTGTTGTCTTTCTCTGAAGAAATATTCTGGTTCCAGCCCATTCCTCTTTTATCTTATTTTAAAAGGAAAAGAAAAGAATGTTAAGAAATGAGAAGACTTATTAAGAAGAGGAAAGAATGCTCTGAGCTATTCAAAGAGCAGGAAAAACAGGCGCTGATCAGTTCCTTTAGGTCCCTAGCTTGCTTTTTCCTGAACTTTGGGCCCCCATTTTTGTCCTCCTATTGGTTGCCATGCTGATGGCACGTTCTTGGTGATACTGTGAAAATTGCCACTGTGATGAGAGCGTGTTCAGTGAGAGCCACACAGAAATCCAAAGCCAGGAACACTTTCCGTGGTCAGCGTGTGTTTCACCGTGTGATGGTGGCCCACCCTCCCTTTCTTCCCCTTTCTTTTTGTCTCTTTCTTGTCTAGACAAATGGTGGTGATCTCTGAGGAGAAAATGATCGCACTAAAATGACAGCTTTACTATTGAGTTCTCTTCCTGGAGAATTCAATCTAGTGTTTGGATTTTCTTTCTTTTTTTCCTGACTAGCACATTGAAGGAAAAATAAAAAGTTGAAAGAATGGCATCCTAATAGTGGAAAAGGAAGAAAGAAACGGAGTCAGATGCTTAAAAATCATTGCCTTCATCTGATTCTAAAATGTAGGCTTTAATCTTTATTGACTTTCGTGCTTATGGGTCCAGTCTTTCAGAATTATTATTGGTGCCTAAAGGCTGGTCCCCAGGTAAATTTACATCTATGTTTTGAAGAATAGTGATGAAATAAATGTAATAAAAATCAACAAGTTTTGTTTCAGTATTGATTCCTTTGTTCTAATTGGTCATTCCTTGTGTGCTCTAGAGCAAGGGCAGGCAAACTTTTTGTAAATGGTCAAGAAGTAAATAGCTCTGCGGGCTATCTGGGCTCTCTTGCAGCTACCCAGCTCTGCTGATATAGCACTAAAGCAGCCACAGGTAACATGTAAATGATTGGGCATGTCTGTGTTCAAATAACACTACATTATGGATGCAGAAATTTGAATTTCATATAATTTTCATATGTCATGAAAGTCTTTTTTTTAATCCATTACAAAATGTAGAAACCATTTTTAGCTCTCAAGTCATACACAAGTCAGTGGACCAGATTTGGCCAAGCCCTGATCTAAAGCTTTGGTAGAGTGATCTAATGAAACATCTTCAGATTCATTTCTTCAGGCTCAGGTGAAAGGAATACATTTCTGTTACTACCAAAGGCTTGAATATTACCACTGCCTGTTGAGCAAGATTCTAAGCTTTACTTGATAGAGTAAACCAAATACCCTGATGAAAATGCTGAATGATTGCTGGGAGAGGTAAGCATGCCGTACGCTTTAAGCAGAACAGGACCTCTAAATGTGGTAGCTCTTTGCTTCTTCAACAGCTGTTCATTAAGTACCTGCTCTAGGCTCAGCCCTGGGTGGTGCAAACGGTTAGTGCTTGGCTGCTAACCAAAAGGTGGGTGGTTCCAGTCCACCCAGAGGCACTTTGGGAGAAAGACCTAGCAAGCTATTTCCAAAGAAGCATCCATTGAAAACTCTATGGAACACAGTTCTAGTCTGACACACAGTCGGTGGCCATGAGTTGGAATCAACTCAACGGCAACTAGTTTTTATATGCTCAGTCCTGGCTAGGTGCCAGGTGTACAGCAGTGAACACGGAAATCCGCAGTCCTAGCTTCAACGGGACGTTTTTTTAGCTAGTATTTGAGAAATCGCTTATGCTTTAGTCAGCTCATCTGAAGGAAATGGTAGCTGTTATGCGATGGCTGAGGTACTGAAGTCACACAGGTAGATGTTTGATATACAAGCTCTTCTAAAACCTCTCTACTCCTGCGCAGTAGTATTTCTAACTAAAACTATTTGTTCTTAGTCATCTTTGAAGAGGGATTAGAGCTTTGCCCTTTTGCAGTTTGGGGTCAAGGCTGTAGTTTCAAACTCATCACTTTTTTTTTTTTCCCCAGGTGCATGCTCCGAGTCCTAGACTCATTTGGCACTGAACCAGAATTTAATCATGCTAATTATGCCCAGTCTAAAGGCCACAAAACACCCTGGGGAAAATGGAATCTGAACCCTCAGCAGTTTTATACCATGTTTCGTGAGTATTCATGTTTCCCCTCTGCTTTCTAGAATGCCACCCAAGATGGATGAGAAAAATAAATTAGACAGACATCTATTTGGGCTGTGATTTTCAGGGCCCTTAGCTCTCAAGGTGTACACCATTGAAAATTTTCCTTGGAATGAACTGAATTTCTTGGATTGTAATTGAAAGGCCGTGTAAGCGTTTTGTGAAAAGCCTTGGAGATGTTCTGGAGAAATACGTTCAATGTGAAGTATCAGTAGAAACCTCTTGGGAAAAGACTTTGGGTTGGTGTTGGATTGGCAGGCTCTAAACACGCTCCACACCACAGATGCCGGTTAGGTTCCACCTCTGTTCTTAATGAGGTCTTCCATGTGGATACATTTTCCAAATAAGTAAACTTTAATTATTTAAGCATCAAACCTTTAAAAAAAAATTAGCTTTTTTTAATGGAGCCATTTTAAACCCTGTTTCATATTTTACTGATTTCTTAAATACTGGAACGAAATGTCACCTTCCCTTGCTGACTTGGAGTCACTGTTGTCAATAGTGGTTATAATTATATGAGGTAATGTATAAAACCCGTTGCCATCAAGTCGATTCCGACTCATAGCGACCCTATAAGACAGAGTAGAACTGCCCCGTAGGGTTTCCAAGGAGCAGCTGGTAGACTCAAACTGCCAACCTTTTGGTTAACAGCCAAGCTGTTAACAACTGCACCACCAGGGCTCCCATATACTGATAGAGCACACTAAAAGATAATGAACTAACTGACCTCAACTACTATGTTCTTATAATTTTTCTATTTCTATAGTTTTCTTTTGCACATTCACCATTTCTTACTGCTGCTATCAGTTTACCTGCCTCTAGCTTCATTTCCTAATTAGCTGAGGGCTGTTAGTGAAGCCAAATAACCAAATTTGATAGTGTTTGTGCAAAATGAAGTTATTGTTTAAGTCAACAGACCCTTAGTGAGATGATATGAGTCTTCTTCTGGAAACGAAAGTGTATGAGTTAAACAGCAACTTGGATGCTCAGAGTGAAGAATTCCCGTTTTCCAAAATTATTAGAATAATTTTAAGCTACTGGTTTCCATCAGAGAATTAATGTCTGAGATTTGAATCTGTTTCCTTTGTTGAGTCAAGACTCAAGGGACCCCTGTCCTTCAGGACAACCACGTGGTTGACCTTCCTCCTTGTGTGCAGCCACTGGAAGATGCCTGTCTGCGGGCTCAGTAAATGTATCATAGCAAGCACATTGAACTAATCCTTGGGTGTTAGGTCTGAGAAGGGAGAATTAAGAAGGATTAGGGAAAATGGGAGAACAATTTTAAAAATTAAAAGTTGGTTTTTACATGTTCTTTTTAACTTAGAGAGATTTGTGAGAGCAAGCTGTAGACAGTGTAAACATTATTATTATTGTTCTTGGAGCTATATCATCCTGTTATTGCAACCTGTCCCTGGGGCACAATATTGGCCATATTAGGTGACAGATGGCTGTCAGCATGGTGAGGCATGGTCAGAAGTTAGCTGGTGGCTTGACTTTGCTGTGTAACTTTTAGGGACTGGGCTGAGGTGGGACAAAAGAACCTGAGAAGTAACCTTTGCGTATGTCAAGTGACAGCAAATGTTAGCTCTGTCCGTAACGTACAAAACTGCCTGAATGATATGATGTGTATATACCCACCACGAGGTGGTGTTTGCCTGAGAGGCATTTCCAGAAAGTGTGTAAAATTCTCTTTTAGAATGTTGGAATTCTGAGTCCTGAGTTCTAATCCATCCTTCATGGATGGAGGATTTCAGCACTGTTGGTTGAATTAAATGAATTTCACTGCTTAAAATGTAACTAAAGACAAAAACATGGATTAATTCCTTTTTAACCTGGGAAACCTACGTTTCCTAACCATGACTAAGAATTCAGCAGGAATTGGGAAAAAAGTGATACATTTAACTACATTTTTTTTAAAGGAACTGTATGGCAAGAACAACAACAAAAAAAAAAAAGTACTGTAAGCAAACTATATCACAGGCAGAGGGTTAATATCACTTGTATATAAACAGCTTCTAAATACTGAGAAGAAAAAATCTACAACCCAGTAGAAAACGGGCAAAACATACTAAAGTTCTAAGGAAAAAGAAATCATGGCCCCAAACATGTGAAAAGATGTTTAGCCATTCACAATGAGAGAAATGCTTTTTAAAACTGTACTAAGATGCCAAGTCCCACTTATTCAATTGGCAAAATTCCAAAAGTTTGACAACATGCCTATTCTGTTGGTGATAGCAAACAAAGCAGGCCTTCACCTACCCTGGTGGTGGGAATGCCACATGGTATCACCCCTGTGGGAGGGTATTTGCCTAGATCTACCTATGCATTTTTTCTTTAAATGAGCAGACCTATATCTATGAATCTTTCCCAAAAATACACGAGCAAAAATAAGAAATGACATGTACATAAGGCCATTTCTTATGGCTCTATTTGTAATAGGAAAAGACTAGAAACAGTCTAAATGTTCATAACAGGGGACTGAGTGGATATATGAATTCATTGACATAGTTACGTACTATGTCACTGGAGAAAGGGATGAGGAAGGCCTCCACTGATACAGAGGGTGATATCTAGGGTATATTCATAAAAACCAAGGTGTAGACCAGTGTTTAGAATTATTCCCCTCTGTATAAGAAGTGGGTACGGAAGAGGGTATGTGTGTGTGTGTGTAAATTTGCTTATATTTTCAGAAGAACCAATGGAGGGATAAATAACAAAATAATACAGATGATTACCATTGGAGGAGGGATGTGCAGGGACAGGTATAGAAAGTAGATACTTCTAAATGTTCCTTGTTTTGACTTTGGAACCACGTAGATGTTTTACATAATTAAAAAAGAAAAATCAAAATTAAAAAAAAAAAAAAGCATTCACTAAACATTGAAACCACCACGGGTCAGTTTGTCATACTGTGGTGCCTTGCATATTGCTGTGATGCTGGAAGCTATGCTACCAGTATCTCGTCATCAAAAAGAGCATTTCAGGATTGATTCTGAAATACAACGCTATCAGTGATAGGATAATATCCATATGCCTACAAGGAAGACCAGTTAATATGACTATTATTCAAATTTATGCACCAACCACCAAGGCCAAAGAAGAGGAAATTGAAGATTTTTACCAACTTCTACAGTCTGGAATGGATCAAACATGCAGTCAAGATGCATTGATAATTACTGGTGATTGGAATGCGAAAATTGGAAACAAAGAAGAGGGATCAGTAGTTGAAAAATAAGGCCTTGATAACAGAAATGATGCCAGAGATTGCATGATGGAGTTTTATCCGAGACCAAAGATTAACAACCTGCGTTATGCAGATGACACGACCTTGCTTGCTGAAAGTGAAGAGGACTTGAGGCACTTACTGGTGAAGATCAAAGAGTACAGCCTTCAGTATGGATTACACCTCAACATAAAGAAAACAAAATCCTCACAATTGGACCAATAAGCAACATCATGATAAACAGAGAAAATATTGACGTTGTCAAGGATTTCATTTTACTTGAATCAGTAGTAATGCCCGTGGAAGCAGCAGTCAAAATATCAAACGACGTATTGCATTGGGCTGATAAGCTGCAAAAGACCTCTTTGAAGTGTTGAAAAGCAAAGGTGTCACTTTGAGAACTGAAGTGCACCTGACCTAATCACCTCATATGCCTGTGAAAGCTGGTTAATGAAAAAAGAAGACATTTGAATTACGGTGTTGGTGAAGAATATTGACTATACCATGGACTACCAGAAGAATGAATAAGCCTGTCTTGGAAGAAATACAGCGAGAGTGCTCCTTGGAAGTGAGGATGGTAAGACTTCGTTTCACGTGCTTCGGGCACGTGATCAGGAAGGGCCTGTACCTGGAGAAGGACAGCACGCTTGGTAAGGTAGAGTGTCAGCGAAAAAGAAGAAGACTGTCAATGAGATGGATTGACAAGGGGGCTGCAACAGTGGGCTCAAACGTAGCAACGATTGTGAGGATGGCACAGGACCAGGCAGTGTTTTGTTTGTTGTACGTAGGGTCACTATGAGTCAAAACTAACTCGACGGCACCTAACAACAACAATACACACTGAAAACAGATGGAAATAAATGAAAGAAATGAACCTAACTATCAGGCTGATGTTTATCCCTCACACAGAGAAAATAATGAGTTCAGATGACTTTAAGACAAAGTATTTTGTTTAAAATTCTTATATAATTCTTTGAAACTATTATTGGTATATTGAAGAAGTTAAGATTTTCAGTATGGAAGTATGTAAAAGTATAAAATTACTTAATACTTTAGAAGAATAAAATGGAAGAATTTAAGCATAGAGTCTGTAGTCTTCAATTTGAATAGAAATAATCACTATGAACTGTTTTTTTTTTTTTTTTTTTTACTCTTAATAAAGAAAATGTTTCCTAGCTCTGTACTTAGAAAACACCTAACAGTAAAGACAATCCAGCAGCAATGAGTATCCTCAGCACTCAGATTGGGATTCCCCTAAAAATACCTTTTCCCACTAGAAGGAACCACCTCCTATGGTGAGTAGCTGATTCCAGGTCTGAGGCAGGAAATGTTCAAAATGGGACATTGTGTCCTGCCAGAAAGCAAGGAAGCTAACAAAGACCACTGGGTGGCATCAGAAGGACACAGGAGCCCACCTGTAGGGGCTAGCACTCTCCAAAGATGGAATTTTGAGCATCAAAAAGAACAATGACCACAGTGGATTGAAACCAGATGAAAAATAATTCATGAGTCCATCATTATACTCCAGTCAGATTGTTGCTATTGTTAATTGCCACCCAGTTGACTCCGACTCATGGCGAGCCCATGTATAACATGTCCTGTGCCATCTTCACAATCACTGGTATGCTTGAGTCCATTGTTGTGGCCACTGTGTATTTTGAGTACCTTTCAACCTAGGGGGCTCATCTTCCAGCACTATTTGGGACAGTATTCTGTTGTGATCCGTAGGGTTTTCACTGGCTACTTT